AGCGACCTTCGCCCACCCCTCGGTCGGGATGTTCATAAACGAAGGACTTTGGTCTTCCTTCTCCAAGAGTCGGATGGGCGACCAGCTTCCCTCGTGAGTGTCAGCTCGCGGACATGTAGAGTACGTAAAGTGTTATTAAACAGGCGCAAAGAAATCCTCATGCACTTGTAATTGTAGTGAATTGGAAACATTTACAGAAAAGCATTTCCATAAGAAGTCAAGCCAATTTTGATGCATTTTTGGACGAAAATTACATTAGATCACTCGCTCGAGATTAGGAAAAGAAAGTCCTACACATAATATTTTTTAAGATTAGCTACATTCCACGATCTGGCCAAGGATCTGCCCTCCGCATCCTTCAGCGAGTACGCTCCCCCTGCATGAACTTTTTTGACCAGGTATGGTCCTTCCCAATTGGGCTCCAGCTTTCCTACATGCTTGAGTACGTCCACCCTTTTCCACACCAGATCACCCACCTGGAATCGGCGAATCTTCACCCTCCTGTCATGCGCTGCTTTCATTCGTTTCTTATACGCTTCGACTCTGGTCGAGGCTTGTTCTCTGAGCTCCTCGATCGTATCCAGGGCAGTTGACATGAGCTCCTCATTCTGCTCTCGATCGTATGTGCTTACCCTCTGGGACTGCAACTCCAGTTCAATTGGTAAGAGTGCCTCCATTCCATAGACCAGGCTGAACGGCGTCTCCCCCGTGGTCGACCTTGGGGTGGTCCTGTATGCCCAGAGCACAGATGTTAACTCATCGACCCAGGCCCCCGAGGCCTTTTCCAATCTCGTCTTCAAGCCGTTCAGTATAATTCTGTTGGTCACCTCCACCTGCCCATTGGCCTGAGGGTGGGCGACCGAGGCGAAATGTTGCTCGATTCCCATCTCCTCACACCATGTCCTCACTCGCTTGCCATTGAATTGGGTCCCATTATCAGATATCAAGACTTTAGGGACACCAAATCGACAACAAATGTTATTGTATAGGAATTGGATTACTTTTTCTTCCGTGATTTTGGCCAGTGGCTCCGCCTCTACCCACTTTGTGAAATAGTCGACCGCGACGATCAAGAACTTACGCTGCCCCGTTGCTTGTGGCATTGGCCCCACCAAATCGATCCCCCATTGTGCGAACGGGATTGGTGCGCTCATTGTGGTCATCATCTCCGCTGGTTGATGTATTAGTGGGCCATGCTTTTGGCATTGCACGCATTTTTTGGCCATTTCCTTCGCATCCGCTTTCATTGTCGGCCAAAAGTAACCAGCTCTTAAGATTTTCGCGACCATGGCTCCGGCCTTACTATGATCGCCACAACACCCTTCGTGCACTTCTCGCAAAACGCATCGACCCTCTTTTTTGGATACATACCTCAAATGTGGGCCTGCGTAGGATCGTTTGTAGAGCACTCCTCTCTGTTCGAAAAATCTCCTCATTACTTTCAGTGCTCCTTCTCGCAGTCCTCTCTGGATCGAGGACCCTCCAATCTTCTACCTCCTCAATTTCTGCTACCTCGGCCTCAGCTGTGCTTTTCTCCATGTGTAGTAAGGTCACACTCCTACTCTTGCAATCTACCAGATTCTGGGCGATTTTAGATAACAAATCTGCCCTACCATTCTCTCCCCGAGGTATTTGTATTAATTCGAACGACGTAAATTCTTCTTTCAGTTTCCTCATATTGTCCACAAGACGTTGCAGTCGATCCTCCTTGATCTCAAAACCTTCCTGAAATTGACCAACCACCAATTGGGAATCC